GTTGTATTCGAAAGTTTCCTTCTTAGTCTCCAGGACAGTTCACTGTCCAAACCCCCAACCCAACCCCAAAGAAATCTCATGGGTTAAGGCAGACCTTTCTCAAGCTTTCCAGTTTGCAAGAAAGAAGACAGCGTTTGTAGCACCCCACTACAATCCTCCACTGCTCTCAGGCGATGCTGCGGGACACCAGAATCCTCTGCCACGTTAGGTGCAACACACTGAAATGGCTCTCCAGGATGTGCATGGATAAAGACAAAAATCAAACCCTTCAGATGGTGAAAATGAGTATTACTCCACCAGGAAAGGCAGAACAACTTTCACCCGCCAGCCACATGTATCACTTAACACACGATTTACATGCTTCTCACTGTCATACCTTTGACTTCAACAGAGATGTGCCTACTTAAAGCAGGGTATGTTTGCTTCTCACTTCTTTTTGTAGGTCAAAACATGTTAGAAATAATGAATAAAGGATGGGGCAGGAAGGTGACTGGCCAGTAGAGGTTCAACTGAACAGGAGCTCCTCGCTTCAGAAATGGCAGGTGCTGGCAGTAACTCGCTCTGACTTTCTTCCCCCACACCCCAACACCCCCACAGCCACTTGAAAAGTGGGACTGTTGTCAAACCTACATTTTCCAGGGTTGTGCAGACAAACTACTCAGGAAATGAAGGGAGTGATAGTGGTGGTGGTGTGTGTGACTTTACCGTCAATCCCACGAAAAATTCAACTTGCTACCTAAGTACACACCAAATGTGAATAAAATGTCTGGGGCTTTTCTATTATTGGTCCCCTCATGAGCGGATGAATATGTTGAAGAAGGACACGGACCTGCTGGAGCGTGTCCAAAGGAGAGCCACGAGGATGATCCGAGGGCTGGAGCACCTCTCCTATGAGGAGAGGCTGAGAGAGATGGGGCTGTTCGGCCTGGAGAAGAGAAGGCTCCGGGGAGATCTTATTGTGGCCTTCCAGTACCTAAAGGGGGCCTACAGGAGAGCTGGGGAAGGACTTTTTACTAGGGCATGTAGTGATAGGATGGGGGGGAATGGCTTTAAACTGGAAGAGGGCAGGTTTAGATTAAACATTAGGAAGAAATTTTTCACTCTGAGGGTGGTGAGGCACTGGCACAGGTTGCCCAGAGAGGTTGTTGAGGCCCCATCCCTGGAGGTGTTCAAGGCCAGGCTGGACGTGAGCTTGGGCAACCTGGTCTAGTGGGAGGTGTCCCTGCCCATGGCAGAGGGGTTGGAACTCTATGATCTTCAAGGTCCTTTCCAACCTAAACCATTCTATGATTCTATGATTTGTAAGGCTCCAAGAGATTCTGTGATGGATACTGCTCACGGAGTGCCGCACACACAGGCAGTTCATCTGCACACATGTAAGTGACATTCATTTATGGAAGTTTTCTTGTAAGAACTCTAAAGACTCTCCTCAGTTAATGACATTGTTCAATCTTACATTTCTTCACAGATTCAGCATAGAAAAGTATTCCCTTCTCCCTTTGGTGCTTGTTGCTAGAGGCATCCTGATAATCAGACTAATCTTGGGACCAATTTTCAACTCCTAACAGCTCAGTAAACTAAAATGCTTAGGCAATTTATTCTCTGTATATTGTCAGCTAGGTAACACTTGATTTCTCATTCCATGAGTGCATTTTATTGTTTTAAACCGAAATCCAGCATATGTGTTTCCAACAGATTATCTCCATAATCACTTTCTTTTTGCTATGGAAATGATCTGAAAATGGTTCTTTGATACGAGAGAAGAGTTCACAAGGCCACGCTGTACAAAAGCTCGAATCGTGCAATTATCATTTGTAAAGAGAAACTGTTATCAAAGTAACTGCGGGAGACACCTCCAGGACTCCTCTCAGAGTCAGGAAATTTGAAACATATATTTCTCTAACATGAATTTCACTCCAAACCCTTCTGAATAATTCATGAGAACGGAGTTAAGCCTGGCACTCGGGACAGAGATCAGGGGCTTCTGCCGCAGATGGAGGATTCCGCCAGTTCCTTTGGGGTAGGTGGGACAGAGCTGGGGTCCCATCACTAGGAGGGTTTTGCTACCCAGGTGCCTTTGGTTTGGGAAAGTCCCCTCCCTGTGAGGGGCAGGCTGGCAGGGAAAGGCTGGGGTGGAGGTGAGTACCTTCCTTCCGTCTCAGGCTGCCTGCTGGGGAGGCAGGAAGGTAAAGGGGAGCGCCCCCCCCTCCCTTTTCCCCTGCCTCCCTCTGCCCCCAGCAGTGCTAATGGCAACCAGAACCAGAGTCTCTACTTCTCTTAAGCAGCATTAAATTACCCACACTGGCAAGATAACAGATGTTATTGGTTCTTTAAAGGAAGGAGGCACCTTGAGATGAGAAAATGCCATTTCGTTCTTCATTCACTAAATGAGAGAAGCTATAAATTGCTGGAAAATGGTAGTTTACAAAGCATTAAGAGGAAGACCTGCAGTTTGGCATGTGACCAAGACTGAAAGAGCGTGTCTGGTTTTAACCATCATCTTGTGTGTCTACGGGCAGGCAAATTAGCTGAAGGGATGCTCCTTGCTTGTACTTTTTACTTGTAAAAGTAAAGAGGTCAGAGGCAGCTGTGCCCTGAGGGCTCGCTTCACCAGCACCACTGCCGCTGCCAAATTTCTGCTCTCTCCCAACCTAGGATGAGTTGGAGAACGAAATCTGTGAGGAAGCCCTCTCCCCAGGCTCTGGGAACTTTCTGAGCAAAGCTGACTTTCGTGAACTCAGGATTTCACCCCACATGGCTCTGGTATGTTACTGTGCTAAAACTACCCAGGACTCACCTCCCCATTACGCGGTGTAGCCTGAAGATTAAATGCCATTTGATGTTGCTGGATTTTTGGAAGAGGACAAGGGGAAAAAGAAAACAACCATTTTGCAGGACTTCCCAGTATTTAATCCCAAAGCACTTTTCTAATGCCAGGTGCTCCTTCTTTTTACAGACAGCAAAACTAACGCATATGTATTTTGACCAAGGTGAGAAAGTGGCAAAATGCTTAGGTTTTGTTAATTCCCAGATACCAAATTCCTCCCCTATAAGAAGAGGGTGCTGATGCACAGAACCATGCTGCCAAGTCGCCGAGCAGGGCAGAGCGTAATTGTTCGTTTTTCATAACACAATAAAGCTAGGATGCTGTCACTGATAACTCAGATGTAAAACTGATGAGTTGCAATACAAAACCACGACAGTTTTATCCTTGGCAATCTCATTTTGCTGAAATGCAACAATCATGAATCCTTGTTAATTATTCTCTTTGTGTTATGCAAGGTTTTGTATTTAAATGAGTGTCATGGGTGGCTATTACTTACAGATATTCAGAAGCGAAAAAGTTGTCTTTAAGACACTCGAGGAACTGGAGAAAACACACAACTGTGATGTGAGAAGTCGGTCCCAACATACTTTGTTCTAAAGCCTCTGCATTTTCCGAATTTTAATCATTGCCTAATGCTATAGATGACACCTACTGGGCAAATGAAGGCCTGGCACATCCAGCATTCCACAGCCTTCTGAACACCTGGTTATTTCCTGAAATTGCTGACAAGAACGAATCCTCTTTACCCTCTGCAGTAAGATTTTCTTGCCCCCTTTACACAGACAGGCAATTCGTAACTGCTAAGAGGAAGGCCACAAGTACAAACCCTCAACTTGCTAGAACCTACAGGATAAAAAGTGGCTCTGTTTGCAGAGGAGGGGATGCCTGAATTGTCCTCCTGAGACTATTGCTTTTACTGAAGTATAAATAGCGCCTCTGTTTTCTTAGCTTTGTACAGAAGCAGGAAGACCTGAGCATTAGGGAAAATACCACCTACCTTTTTTTACCACTGATTAATTTCCTTTTGCTTTGCAGGCAGCTATAATGATAACTTCGTTACACCACCCCATTACCAATCAGTGTTAAACAATGGAATAGCAGTGTGTTAGGGTTCATCAAGTACAAGCGATATTAATGGCACAGTTAGAAAGAAAACACTGAAAATTCTCCCTTTATGTTGGCTAATTATTCACATTGGGACTAATAACAGACTTTCAATGTATAAAAATGATATTAGGCATATTATCTAAGTTGTTGCTCCTACTGCTTTCTAGAGAAACTGATTTGAAGAGCAAATTTCTATCAACTCAAACAGCAAAAGAACGCAACCCAAACATCAGGGGCACTCTTCTCAAAGTCAGTCTATATTCTGTGTTATATACCCACTGATGTAACTCCACTGATGAAAATTCCAAGTATTCAGAGAAAGACCCATATGATTATTGCTCCCCTTTGAACTTATAAAAAAAACCCAAACTTCCACACACTTTGTACGTGCAGCTACAGTGATTAACTGCACATATTAGATATTTGCAAGCGTAATTAGTTAGCTGTCTGCACAACTCAAATTACCCAGGAAACACTTTATTATCCATGGTAATTGCAAACCTGATGTGCCACAACTGCCCACACTTTTTTTTGCGTAAAACAAGACACTTAAATATACGGGAAAATAGTTTAGAAATGTTAGTATCTTAAAAATTGATTCCATCTTTATTAACTTAACAAGGGGATTTCTAACAAAGTTGTATTGAAATAAAAAAAATTTAAAAAAGAAGAAAGCTGTACATTCAGGAGTGGTCCAGAACTTAGCTCTCCATGGCCCCAGAAAATAACGCCACGTATCAAGGTCTCCAGATCCCCAAAGAAATGACAGACTGGCACATAGTGTCATGATTTTTTTTAACGTACCAGTTTTTGTCAGCTGCTGAATTTTAGTAAGGGGATTCACTTTGACCTATTGGTCTTTGAACGTTCGTGTATATATTGTCCCACATGTGTATGGGGCAGTGTTCTTCTCCCCACATCTTTGGTATTTGGAAAGCTATAGAAACTTTACTCTGTATTGAAAGTTTTCTTTGCAGGAGAGAGCCCTGAATACAAAGCTCCCACCAGCTGAGGCACGGAGACCTTTCCCTCGGGCAGCCATACTCCACTTTCCTTTCTGGGAGCACTAAGGTAAGATCTCACCAGGCACTGTTCGGGAGTTGAATATATTCGTGTAGAAATCTATCAGTAGTTCAGTGAAGAGATTCAGAGGTACCAGAGCACTCAGGGAGGCAGTTCCTTTCGATGGCCAGATCAAATTCAAACCAAAGACACAGGCCAGGCTGGATGCTGTCATTCTGTTATATATGCTTTCCTGTGAAACCTGGAAAAACATAAACATGAATAGGTACATGCAGATATGTGCCCCAGAAGAGTGAGAGACAAGACACCATCCTGTACTGAGGATGAACCAGTGACGGGAGTAGACCCTGGCCATGGGTACATCGCTGGCTTCTTAACAGCCTCAGGGCTGCCTATGCAGCCTAGAGCCTAGAGCCTGGACGCCCTGTCCCTCAAATACAAGATAAGATGTCAGTCAAGCAAAAAGGCTGAATTGTTTCCTTATGCTAGGAAAATTAATTGTTTTCAATCCTTCCATATGGAATCTATTGTTATCTCTGCTGGGGGGCAGGGAAGGACAGCAGAAATAAACGGTTATCCCATCTGCTTTGGTACCAAGTTCTCTATAGAATAAATCTCGAGGACTTCTGAAGTTGTTTGCAAGGGTTTAGAAGGGTTATTTTTTTCTCCCACGGATGCATGACTTCACTTCCAAGTACCTCCACATCCACCCAATTCCGCTGAAGCAATGGAGGTGAAAATGGGCTGTAGATAAAATACACAGCACTGAAATCTGTTCTGCACCTGGATGATGTGTTCTACTTCTACCCATGGATGTGAGCCCAGAGCTGGGTAGCAGGAGTATTTTTTTTTTTTTTTTTTTTCTTTGTGTGAGCTTGTCAGGGAATTTGTGTGTGTTTTGCTCTCCTGCATTGCATGGCTGGTATCTAAAGCCTAATATGGTCTGGGTGTCCTATCTGACAAGTTCTCTGTTATTGCAAAGAGCCAGCAAGCTGAAGGTGCTCTTGATTCCTCCTGAACTAGGTAATTCAGCCAGTTCTTCTCAGGCTGATGGCTGCTGCTGTTGATAAGTAATCAGTCACGGGAAGACTATGCAGTCACAAACTGCGATGTACAGGTTACTCCAAAGCTGTCATCTCAGAACAGAACAGGAAATTATTGGACAAAATCTCCCATGTATTCTTCGTGCTACAATTTTAAGTGGAATAGGAAAGCAAAAATTCTACTTGTCAGTTTCTCCCCATTTCTGCCTTGCCATAAAGCCTCCTGAAAAGGCAGCTCTGTAGTACTATGAAAAGCCTGAGGGCACTAGAGGAAAAGCTAAGAAACATTATGATCATGTCAACACTTCTTAGCATATGCATAAACTCCAGTTGCCCTCTGCCCGGTAACACAGGTTTAATTCCCCTCTACCTCCTACAGCACAGTCTTATCCTCCTCAGTGCTTTACTTAGCAAGAAGCCTGTTTGCTCAGCCACGAGAGGATATAATTCCCTTTAGACATGTGTGCAGGATGGAAGTCTTTTCCTTGGGGGACGTGAAGCAGCACTTTATGTGCCCAAAAGCATATCATTTTCTTCCTAACCATACTAATTTTTCCAATAATAGGTACTATTTTTCCCTCCAATCTTTACCTCACCCTTCTGGGACATCAAAGCTACCGTCATGCTACTTCTGCTACAAATATTAAAGGCTTCAATTGTTTTTAAGGTCATGAAGCAGGTCTGGATAAAGGAAGGAGGTATTAATAAGGAGATATTGGTGCCATAACCACCTTTTCAAAGGACTGGACTTCATAACTTGAGAATAAAAAGTCATCAGATTAAATGGCAATGCCTGCTTCATGACCTTATGCAAAACCCACATCATTCTCTCTAGAGTACGAACCACGCATAGCCTGCTGACCTTCACATACTGCTCTCGGTGCACTGTTTAACTATACAGAAATACCAACAAGCCCATCTTGGTCATTTAATCTGCTTCAGACGAGATCAGCTCAAACAAGAGTTCATTATACTACAGCAATGTAGTAAAAGCTAAACTGCTACCGAAGTAACTCATGACGGAAAACAATTAGGACAACGTTACCGGAAGTACCCTGTTAACAAGGAGGCATGAACTTAGGTATTACCCTGAAGGTAGCTGGACAATGAAGCTGGTGTTTGGATACTGCTAAATATAACAAGGTTAGAGACTGTGTTCTGGCCCTTGAGCCAAGTGGCTCACACTGGCCGCATCCACACTGTGTAATGTTGTAACTGTGAAACCCCTGTGGATTGAAGACAAATTATTTTTCGGTGTTTCTTTCAGTTGAAAGCCTCTAAAATAACATGAGAGCTACAGCCCATCATGTTGTGTTTTCTATAGCACAAAGCCAAAGATGTGTCCTGTATATCCTAAGGAAGGCACCTTAAGTGCATACTGGGCAGGTACCATGTGATGGCACAGAAGCATGTGGTATAGTACTGGAGGACAGTGGTGGGTGGAAGGAGCCAAACCTGTTGCAGTTGTCTTCCCCCAGTTTTTGGGAGTATTCCCTGACACACTCCATCCAGCAAGCGGTGTACAGGTGCTGTCTTCGAGCGATAGTTGAAACACACCCAGCTTAACCTAGCCACCGCCTTCGAGGGCCAACATTCCAGCCCAAAGCAACACCACTGTGACTTGCTGCTAGAGCTAGATTTTGTTATTCTCTTTAGGCCAACTGTTTCAAAGAATGCTTCTAACTCCAAGATGAAACCATCTTCCCACCCGCCACTACTCTGTGAACATTTTCAAAGAGACAGTCAATGTTGAAATGATCAACAAAAATACCCATGACACAGCCTCTCCCCTAAGAGAGAAAATCCTTAAGATAAAATGAATCAGTGATTATACCATCTGAGGCACAGCTACACTAAGCCTCTTCTGTGAGTCATCAATGAGGCTGACACTTCGGAATTCAAGGGAGACGCAGCACGTTGCTTCACTCCAAAATGCACAGCAATCCCTTCCTCAGCAGATCCAAGAAAAAGCGTGCAGCTGAATCCAGCTCTCTCCACAATGACTTTTGCCGGCTCATCAAGAGCTGCAAGCCAGGAAGCCTTGTCACACCCATGGTAATAACTTTATCCTTCCCTGAGGAGTTCAGGTTTCACACCATCTCAACCCCCTCACTAACTCCAATGCTAGACTTCTTTCTCAAATGACACCAACACGTCCACTTCATCTACACCACCGCCACGAGCAGCTGATGTTTTCTTCCAACACTGGACCACGTAAGGGCAGCATCCAGTCAGCCAACCTCTTCATGGGCTACCCCTCTAAATAACTGCACCCCAAAGCTACGTTCTATCTAAGAAATACAACTGACATCTTTAGCATTTGGACTAACCCCCTTGACTCCTTCTTTGATTCCCTCAGAAAGTTAGTAACCGTCAACTGTTTCAAGTGAAAATACACTTTCTCTGTCAAATTGACAAGCTAATAAAAAACAATTCTCCAAGGACCTAGATCGCATCTTTGAAGGAATCATCTGAACATCACTGAAAAGTACTACAACAAAGAACTACACAGCTCCACTTTGCTGGGTTTTTTCCCCCTTTCATTGGAAGATATATAGAAAAATCACTAAGTAATGACAGCCTATATTGAAAGAAAGTCCTCCAGAAAGATAAAAGTTGTACGTTACAAAACACATTATTGGGAATAAACACTGAAGATTGAGTGCCACATCAACGAATGCAAAATAGACATCTTCACTATCCCAGAATAAACATCCAGCTCCCCCCAACAAAATTGTGATGATTTTTGGATTCCACGCACTTGCAGCCCAGCACTCTCATGGATACTGGCAGGAGTGAAACCAGACAGCCACTACACCACCTAATGAAATTAAACAGTGAAATCCAGAGGGTAGAAACAGCCAATTACCATCTCATTATAAAAATGTAAGGACATCACCGTCTCTTTGGCTTCCCAGTCACAATGCTGAAAGGAACTCCACAAAACATTTTCAAAAGAAAATTACTAGATATTAAAACACCCCCACAAACTGACTGGAAATCCGAGTTTCTATCCCCCACTCTCTGCTGCCTTGCAGGGGTGCCAACTGCGTGTATCTGCTCTATGAGGCTTAGTCATCTAATCCTTCCAAACGTGCCCTGTCATCCTCAGCCACCCCCAAGCTTTGCTGGTGCTAATTACACTTTTAAATTGGACAAGTGATTGAGACAAAACATTCATTCAGAGCTTTTTTTTTTCCAGCTTGTATTTGGCTTTAACTTTGCTGCTTCAGTTACAGATCCGAACCATATCTCACGGGCCCCAAAACCTTGTCCATTTTTTTCTAGTTGTCCAAGTCTGACATTTGGAATTTGGCAGTTTTTTGCAATGGTTCTTTCAGCCAAGTCAGCCACCCCTTCCCCTGCATCAGGCATGACTGCAGGGACAGAAATAAGCAGCAGAGAGGGAAAGTGTGTAAGAGGGGGCTATATCAGCTTGTACCAAACCCAAAGATGTGGTTATAAAAACACAATCTAGGTTGTATTATTGCCTCTACAAACTTTGCTGATTGTTTAGCCTTAGACTGTCATGGAAAACTACAAATACAGTTTTCTACTAAAAGGTTTCTGGCTTCAGAACTGGGTAAGTGTGCTTTGATAAGTAATTTGCAAGAAGACTTCTTTGAGCCCTTTAAGTTTGCATGTGCATTCATAAATCCACTTCACTGCGTGTACAACACAGGGCACAAATGCTTGTTTGTGCACACTCATCTCTTGCGAGATCTGCTGAGCAAGCACAGATATTTTTTACAGACATAATTCCAGGCCTGCCTTCTGAAAACCAGTCTTTGTTTTCCCCTTGCTCCTGGATGCTCAATTCTGCCTAGGGACCTCAGTCCACAGCAACTCCAAGAGGACCCTGCAAATCCCTCCATAGAGTCCAGATGCACTGCAAAGTGGAGATGGACAGTTTACACCTTTCACAGCATGCTGGGCTCATTACTGGTAAAATCACTGCTAATCTAAGATTGAAGGATTTGGACCTATGTTTGAAATTCAAGTCTTTTACTTCTGTAGGAGTTGCACTGTCTTGCTGTAGCACCCTTGGACTGGAAGGAGCTGTTTCATTAAGTAAGGGGGTTGAGACTGCAGAGAAAATAGGGATTTTTTTTTTCTTCTTCCACAAGGCTGTATCAAACCTGGAGTGTTCAAAACCTGTACCTAGTGATTACAATTCAGCCCACTTCATGAAATTATCACAAGTACCTCTTGCACTACTCAAGGCTGAGCTCATGGAAGAATTAAATTGCCTCTTCTATTTAAGAAGGCTGATGCTTGCAGGTAAAAACTAGGATTATTGGTAGAGTGGTCTGTTAAAGTTTGAATTGTGGCAGCTTGTGCAGCACACCGATCTGCAATGAACAGAAATCTCTAGCTCCTAGATTGTTTCACATTCCCTTGACCTTTCCAAATGCAAATATTCCCAAAGATATTAAGGATGAAAAGCCGTGGATCAGCAAAAATTGCCGATCTGAGCACTAGTATCAACTTGATGCTGTGCTCTACATAACAAGGCATACTCAAAAATAATGCTATGTTCTGTTGCTCAATTACAGAAAACACTATGTAGTACTTTTGCACACCTCATTAACACCTCAAGTGCTCAGCTCTTAAGAAGTGCGTTGAGATGGTGCATCTATTATTGGAACAAAGTCACTTACACGATTCATAACACTGAGGAGAGATATCAGTTGCTAAAATAATAGCAAATGACATGAGGTTTTCCTTAATAGCATTAGAGTTCAGCTAAGCAACAGTAAACGAACATATGGGTATTACAGGAACCTTGCAAGTGCTGTCTGAGTGAGGGTCATATCAATGTGTTTCCTTTAACTTTACTTTTCTCTAGTGTTTTGATAGAAAAAGGGATTAAATTGTTTCTGAAATAACTTGTTTCTGAAATATGCTACTGGCTAGAATATGGCAAACATGACAGTAGCCTAAGAACAGTCACTGAGGGCTAATTTCCTCCACTGGTGAAAATCAGCATCATTCCACATACATGATTGCTTTGGTGGGCTCTTAGGACTTCTGAAGGCTAGATCACTTTATTTAGGTGTCAACTATACCATGATCCCCAGTTATAGGCACCTGGGTTTGAAAAATGCAATCTGGAAAAGGCAATGCATTGGATAAGGCAGAAGGAAGGGAAACTTACGCTCCTCTTGCTGTCTTTTCCTGCACATAAACTGGCAACCAAAGGATGTCACTAGGCTAAACTGTAGAACTATTTGTAATGGATGTTCCCCAAACCCTCACACTTGTGGGGTTTCCAAAAATGGGTTAAAAAAAAATCATCAAATCAAAAAGTAGGACAAAAGACACATGATTTCATTTACCCTGAAGCATACCAAAAATCCTTGCAAAATGGCACAAAGTTTTTTATTTAACACTGTAGTAAATTACAGAATGAAAGGCCATTTTAAACAGGAAAATGCTATTTGTAAGATTTAATGGAAATTACTTTGCTGATTGTTGTTCTAAAGGTCATTAATATTTCTATCATTTTCTAAAATGACACTATTTGGTGTTTCAGTTGCCCAAGATTTACACTTTGGAGAAAAAAGGCGATTTCATCTAGTTTTTTTCCAGCACCAAAAATTACATAACAACAGTTCTCAGGCTTTTTCACTCAAAAAAAAGGGTAAAACCAAGAACTAAATCAATAAAACATATATTTGTGAATGGGGAGTGAAGGGGACAGGGACAGGACTTTTAAATATTCCAGTGCAGGCACAGTTCCATTTAAATTTACACAGTAGTTTTCATTACATCGTGGTGAAGGGATGGCCAGACCGTTGTTTAGCACTGACTTTTATTAGAACTGGAGGGTTCTGCACCCTGAGTTCACTCCATTGGCAAGCACTGCACCACCAACTCACTGCATTTTTTTATATTCTTCAGTTTTATTTTCTGTGGAGATTTTCAATGTTGAGTTAACAAGAACAGAGTAAGAAAGAAAAGACTGGCGTTACTTTGGAAATTTTGCCTATACTCACCATATGGAGAAAGCATATCAGGTATTTCAGAACAACGTAGTTGTGTTCAGGAAGTCCTTGAATGATTTGCTTACATCTGGTGACTCGTAAACTGCTCTCCACACCTGCAATTTCAAAGTCAGTCTTAATATAACTCAAAAATATCAAAATATCAAGAAGAAATAACCCCATATTTATATCTGCTGGAATTTAGATATTCAACTGTAAAACTGACCACAAAATTCAGCTCTACTAAGCTCCATGACCACAGTAACAGTTAGGGTTATCCCTCTGAATGTCCCTGTCATATTTTGTATTATTATATATATGGCTAAGACTAACTTCCAGAGTATTTTCTCAATTCAATGAAATAGCTGAAATAATTTCTTTTCTAGGAAGAACTTTCAAATGTCAAATGTCAAAGAGTCCAACTCTTCTGACTTTGGGAAAAAATTTACAAGACGGCCACTTGGGCGGGTAAGAATTTTCTAGAGATGGACCTAAGCAGGTTAATTAACTCATTTCTACAGATGGGCAAAACCAGAACTGGACCCCAAACTCCTGGAATCATCTAGACAGCCTGGGTGAGAATTACACTAACAGTGGATTATATTTCAAATGCTGTACCGAATGACTTTTTTTTCCCCTCCTGGAAGACTGTAATTATTTTAGTACTGGAAGTTTAACACCATTTTGGAGAAAGATCTAAAGATTACAATTATGCCTGACCTAACCAGCCCATTTGGGCTGCTGTTTTTTCTGCATTTGTTGGATTTCCCTTTCCTTGACACAGAGGTGCACATAAGCACGGCTACATGCACAAAATTCCAGCATGTTAAATGTTCCCTTAACCTCTGAACTAATACATGAAGCTATACTGTGGTGAGCTGTGTTGACATTTTTCTGACTGCAAAGCTACCAGTTCCTGCAAGACACAATCATCTGAGTCCCAAGAATTATTTTGTCAGCCTTCTGCAGAGTAAATAACGCAGAAAGTGTAGCTATACCGGGTAAAGGAACTCTTGTTAGCAGTTTTCATGAACAAAGAAGTTTTTCTTTGACAATTATAAGCTTTAAGATTTTATTAATTTTTTTAGTCAGCCACTCAGCTAATTAATTTCACAGCTCCCATCAATAACCCTTTAAAAAAATGTTTCATATGAGACATTAAAAAGAAAAGTTTCACTATCATTTCAAAGTACTGTAAAACAAAGATACTGTATTTCTGGGTTTGCAGGTTAAGAGATGTAACACATACATCAGACACTCCTCTGGTGTCTTCCAGAAGACAGAATGAGAATTTTCAAATCATCCCAAGACAGCTGTCTGCTATCACACCTCTTCAAAGCTCCCTTCTGCACTGGATTCACAGAGAATATGCTTTTGCTGCAGTCCAGTTTGGCTCCCAAGCTTAAGATCTTTTAAAATCAGGATATCACCACAGCATCAAGAAAAACTAGTGGACATCACACTGCCTAACACGAAAGTGCAAGAAGAAATTCTCTTAAACTCCACTTTTCAACATATTTTGTCAACAGTTAAAACACCAGTAAACAAAAATAAGAGGGACTGCATGCTTCACAGGTGTTTTGCCAAGCAAAACCTTCCAGTGTTCCTGGGACAATGCACTGTGCTGAGATTCTTTTCAGACTTGATCTCATCTTTCACTTAGCTGTATTGCAATGTAATATCATGTCCAGAAAGTCAGCACAAGATTAATTCAGTAAAATATAGCATTCGTACATTTTTTTTTTCCAAATTTCCCCTATTCTTTCCAGTTCTGAGTGACTATCCTTAGTCCTTCCATTTCTACCACCTTCCTGTGAATACACCTGTTTTTCTCAATGCCTTCAGATATTTAGTGTGTGGAGAGATGAATCCTTGATTTGGAAGGTGGTGATCTGCAAAATTGCAAATATCAAAACAGTACAGAAATTCAGAGGATTCTGAACATGACCTAATCAATTTTTTTAATGGAAATACATGAATAAAATTAATGATATGAAACAGCACGTGCAGATGCTAGTGATGGGCACAGTATATAAATTTTACCTACAATACAGTATATCTAGGTAAACCTACTGTACTTCTACACTGTACAAACATGTTGCCATTGAGATTTATCCTCAATCTGAATTATTTTGGTGACCCTAGCCCAACAGCAACAGTTATGATAGCGACGATAACCTACGCTTTGCAACAGCATCAGCCCATGCTTATCAGAGGTATGCAAGCAGACTCTGTTGGAAGATGTACTCCATATAATTTCCTCAAAAAGCCAGGTTTTGGAAAAACGTGTGCTTGTGATTTGTTACTGGAAGCTCTACTGGTTCCCTGCTAGACTGACTATAGCCTGGATGGCAAAATACCAGTTTCTACAAGTACTGGGTACTAAACCTCAGATATTCTGGGATCTCAGATATTCAACCCCCATCTATCAGGTAGTTGCCTTGCCAGCATTGTAAACTTCCTAGTCCCTGACAAAGGCCGCAGAGTTTTCTAAGTCATAGTTTCATATGGTGCTAGATCTTTAGATAATCCTTGTTTTTTCTTCTCATGGCTTTAGATCCTTTCTGCCCCAGTGTTATCCAATGGGAAAGGCTCAAATAAAAACAATTCCCTTCCTACAAAAAAATGGGAAAAAAAAGGAGAGAAGCATACAAATGACCAGCTAAATTTTGCTCCCACAGTTCTGCCAATGCTGCTGCTAAAACTAAACCCGCTTTGACATAACTTGTATCACTGAGAACTGACTCAGTGCTGCGCCATGACATAAAAATGGAGCCCTGACAGTGAGAAGTCCGGCCCAATTCTTAATAATACAGTATGATACGTAGATTAACCAGCGAATCTTGTAAAAAGCAGAAAGGGTCTTGGTAACCCTAACCACCCTGCTCTAGTACAGATTATGAGGTTGTCCATTTGGGGTTGCAGTGATGCACTAATAATATGATATACCCACAACTGTGCCATGATTAGCAAACAGCGATGATTATGAATTAGCCAGGTCCAGTTCAACTTGCTGTATAAATTTTTCTAGAACTTATTTATACTCACTGGTGATTCCAAGGATATGATCATAACACTCAAAAGTTAGTAATGGCTGAGGGAGTTCCCTAAGGAAAGTCTTTAGGATAACAGCAGGCATATGGATATCATGATAATCGTCAAAATTCACAAACTTGCCTAAAAGGAGAAAAAGGAGGAAAAAAAAGAAAAAAGGTGTTCAATCATATATTTTACGGTTTCTGTAAACAACTGCTTAAAAACTGTGTCACATTACATTTTGAACAGAAAACATCTTGGCTTCCTGCTGCTGGTAACTCCTGGCGTTTCCTTTTTGTGTCTTTCGTAGAGTTCTATTAATTTCGCTATAAAAGATTCTCCCCATAAAGGCATTTCATAAAATAACTTCATGGGGATGTAAGTGACTTTCAAAATTACTTCACTACATTTCATAAATTATTAGGTAAAAATATATTTCTTCGCCATAACCATGGAAAAACACCAGAGGCAAAATGACAAAGACCATACTTTGTAACTACTGTAACTCAAAGTGCATAGAGGCAATACAAAAGTTTATGAAAAAACAGACCTTTTTTGACTCAAACCTTATTATTCACCAGCTGCTACATATTTTGTCAGCTCTGGTCTGACATCAGTTGATGACTTGCTATTCAGTAAGCATTAAAGTGCCTGTTGCTATCTTTCAGGTTTCTGTAATAGTGCTCTTATTATGATTATTTTATCTTATAAATGGTTTTATGATTAACTAATTACAAGAAAACTAGCATTTCTGCTTTACCAACAACACCAGGACCAACAAAGCCCTCACACTGTTACTGGCAAAGGTGTGATGAGAGTTTACCCTGATTGTAAAGTTTCTGAACATCTTTGATAGTCTGGATGCTGGCTGACCTTCTGAAGAGGCCCTCTACTTGTAGTCCTGAAAAAAACAATTAATGCAGGTCTCATCTGTAAAAGCTCTCACTCTCGTTTTTCTCTACAGGTTCAGTTGAAAACAGAACAGAGGCAGAAGGTTTGGGAACAAACCCACTTGATACACCTCTTTTTTTTTTTAAATAAAGTCCTTGAGAACAGAACGTACATCAAATAATGTTGCAACATTGCCTACAACCTTTCTTTACCATGTCTCATACAAATGCTACCACTTTTCCTTAAGTGTTTCAGAGTGTCTTGACAACTATAATTTTTCTTTAAAAGTAGCTATAAATTGCACCTAATGACATAGAAACAGGAGATTTAGATTCACCAGGCTGCCTATGTACCCACTCTCACTGAGTGTATCTGCAAACTGAGCCCCAAACCACGCCTGCAAATCTGCTATTCTCCTTTTAAATGCCTTAGACCTTTAGCAAGCTAAAGAGAGGATTTGCAAAGATTCCCATGGGTTCCTCTTCCATCAGCGGGTAAGACAAGATCCTTTAGCCTAGGGAATGTTTTACAGGATCTTTGGATGGAGGAGCCTATCTCCTACCATTGGAGGGATAGTGGCCTCCACAGCTTAAAGGTAGTTTGGGGCAGACCGCTGCTCCTTCCACCTCTCTCTGGAAGCCAGTGAGACTTAAGACTCTGCCTGCCAGTGGTATTCTGAAACACCCAATTCTAGTCTTGAGGCACACCTTAGATACTTATCATAAATCTCCTGAAGGGTATCTATCTCATTTGCTTTCATGTCTTGGACTGACTGAAATCTGAGTTCAGCTACAGAGGAAAAACTTCAATAAAATGCATCCAATCTAATTTGGATCACAGCTTTCAAGGTGAGTTATGTATCTGAATTATTATGCAAAACAGGATGGGGACAAGAAGTGCTACTTTTCTTGAGACTTGTGGTACTTCTTGCTTTTGAGTTTGGTAAAAGCACAGGAGAAGGCCATCCCCATGGCTCGAAAAATGAGCCGACGGGGAAGAAGACCAGCCTGGCTAAATAGAAAGCTTTGGCTGGACCTCAAGAACAAAAGGAAAGCCTACATTCTCTGGAAAAGGGGGTTGGCATCTTATGAGGATTATCATGATACAACAAAGCTATGTAGGGGGAAAATTAGAAGGGCCAAAGCTCAATCAGAACTCAGCTTGGCCACTGCAGTTAAAGACAGTAAGAAGAGATTCTTTCAGTATATTAATAGGAAAAGGAAGACTAGGGAAAATGTAGGCCCACTGATGAATGAGATGGGTGCTCTTGTGGTGGAAGACACAGAGAAGGCAGAGTTACTGAATGCCTTCTTTTCTTTGGTCTTCACTGCTAAAGCTGTCCCTCATGAATCCCATACCCTGGAGGCAAGGGGGAAGGTCTGGAGGGAGGAAGATTTCCCCTCAGTTGAGGAGGACCAGGTCAGAGAACACTTGGCCAAGCTGGACATCCATAAGTCCATGGGCCCTGATGGGATCCACCTGCGAGTGCTGAGAGAGCTGGCAGATGTTATTGCTAGCCCACTCTCCATCATCTTTGAAAGGTCATGGGGAACAGGAGAGGTGCCTGAGGACTGGAGAAAGGCTGACATCTCTCCAATCTTCAAAAAAGGAAAGAAGGAGGACCCAGGGAACTACAGACCGGTTAGTCTCACATCGGTCCCTGGGAAAGTTATGGAGTGACTCATTCTGGATGTCCTCTCCAAACACATTGAGGAACAGGGAGCTATTGGAAGTGGTCAACACGGATTTACCAAGGGTAAATCATGTTTGACCAATTGGATGGCCTTCTATGATGATGTAACTGGTTGGCTGGATTAGGGGAGAGCCGTAGATGTCATCTACCTTGACTTTAGCAAGGCTTTTGACACTGTCTCCCATAACATCCTCATTAGGAAGCT